TCTATAAAGTTGCAGTTGGCCTAAAGACCCTATCCCTTATTCTAGAAGGTCTTATTCCTTACAGGCTTTGTAAGGAACCATGTCTGTAACAATCTGAACTCCTCCACTGTATTCCACACATTAGGGATCTTTTAAGTTTCTGTTATGTCCTGGCACAAGCATTTATCGTGACTCTGGGAGCATGTAGGGTTAAAGATGCGAGGCAAGACAGGGCTGGGTTGTCTGATTAAACTGACAGGAAATGGCCAGGGCTCATGTGTGACTGCTTGCAGTTGGGCAAAAGAGGATAAATTAATTGCTTTATGGAAATTCCTTTCTGCATTCTTTAGGAAAAATTTTTCCATGTGAGCTAAATGAGTCAAGGGGGGTGGTTTTGGGCTTAACAGCTTTGACATTGTCCCTTCAAGGAATGAAACAATTAAAGAAACTGATCTCCTCTGAGAAAAAGATGATTTATGATAACCTAACTACTCTACATAAAATATTCCCAGTAGACTCATCAAAACAAGGCCCTCTGATACCACATCATACTGGGTTTTTCCTTATTGGGATTCCCCCATGTTTTTTCTTTAATGCTTCCCCATGTTTTAGAAACAGATTTACTTACCTGGAACCTTCCACCCTCAATTCCAAATTTATCCTAGTACTATCATTTGGGAGTAAATAACATGAAAGTGGCCTACACTGGTGGAAAGCCCATTCAAGAAACTAAGGATGATTCAATAGTAGAGTTGATAGTATGCGTATAATCCCAGAGAGGAGTTTCATGAAGGATGAGAAGGTCAACAGTGCCTGATGCAACCAAAAGGTCACATTAAAACAGGACAGGGAGGAAGTCACTGGCTGTCCAGCAAAAGGTCTTTAGTGGCTGTATTAAGAGAAGCTTTTACAGAAGGTTGAGGGTGGTAGCCTCATTGGATTGGAACATTGGATTAAGAGTGAGAGGGACTGAAGGAAGTAGGAGCTCCAGGTCAGAGGAAGGGAAGAGAATGAACTTGAGGAAGACCCCATGGATGAAGGGAAGGCTCTTTTGAGGCAAGTGACTTGAGCAGACACAGGAAGCAAAGAGGAGTCTGGGGACAAAGAGAGATAGTCCAGGTAATGTAGGAAACATTTGATGAGGAAAGATCTCGAATAAAAACCTGAATGCAATTACTGTTTCAGATGTCTCCTTTGCCTTCCCCATCCCACATTCTAGAAAAATCTTTGGTGCATTAACAGATTTTGGACTTCACAGGGCTTCACTTTTATTGTGTTTGAGATTTGTTCCTTGGTGAAACACAAAGAGACAAAACTACACAAAAAGAGAATCATAGTTGATGAAAAATCAATGTTTAGCAGTTGCTCCTTATAATCCCAGCACTTTGGGAGGCCAAGGCGGGTGGATCATGAAGTCAAGAGATTGAGACCATCCTGGTCAACAAGGTGAAACCCCATCTCTACTAAAAATACAAAAATTAGCGGGGCATGGTGGTGCACGCCTGTAGTCCCAGCTACTCGGGAGGCTGAGGCAGGAGAACTGCTTGAACCCAGGAGGTGGAGGTTGCAGTGAGCTGAGATTGTGCCATTGCACTCCAGTCTGGGTAACAACAGCGAAACTCTGTCTCAAAAAAAAAAAAGAAGTTGCTCTTAAATCTTTTACCCATTGCTAACATGGGTATTTGAATTATATTTGGAATGTATTCCGGGACTACTTACACATGAAAGGATTAATGATATTGGAGCCAGGTTCAAAGTCTCAGCAACAGGCTAAAACCTGCTCTTTTTAGTAGTCAGCGGTAAAGCTTAGTATCCTTTTTTCTGAAAGCTTTCACATGCTAAACTCTCCATTGCCAAGACCCTGGGGAGGAAAATACCAGAAGCTTAACTCCTATAGCAACTTTCTCTGAGATGCGCCTGGTGATAACATTTTCCAACAGGGCTAGCTTCTGTCTCCTTCCTTTTCTGTGCCTACCAGTAAAGTCTTGTACAAGTTTCTTAACCTTTCTTTGCTTCAGTTTCCAAATTTGTAAAGTGAAGATATTAATACCTCCCTCATAGGGTTGTTGTGAGGATTAAGTGGGCTAATGATCAAACAGAAGGCACTCATTAAGTATGACTAGCATTGTTACTTGCAGTAATAGTAGTTCTAGTAGTAGGCTTTTCCAGGTAATAGGGATTGAAGATATTCTCATGTTACCTCAGTTAATAGTGGATTATTTTAAGGGTAATCAAAACATAAGAAGAATGGGAAACTACTTAACCAGCACATGAGGTGCAGACCCAAAGGCAATTCTTGTAGACTGACAGGTTTGGGACTCAGGGTCTCTGTGTGTGTCTATTTCTCTGCCACTCCATCACATGTTTAGCAGGGCCAACTAATTTGTCCAAGATCACGCAATTAGTAGATGATGATGCAAGATTTGCACTAGTTATTATTCATTGGAAAGTGATTACTATGTAAGTTAGCATGAGAATATTGAAAATAAATGTCTTTTTAGATTTTTTTTTTTTTTTTTTTTAATTCCTATGTAGGCCAAGTGCAGTGGCTCATGCCTGTAATCCCAGCACTTTGGGAAGCCAAAGCAGGCAGATCACCTGAAGTCAGATGTTCAAGACCAGCCTGCCCAACATAGTGAAACCCTGTCCAACATAGTGAAACCCTGTCTCCACAAAAATACAAAAATTGCCCAGGCATGATGGCGGGTGCCTGTAATCCCACCTACGTGGTAGACTGAGGCAGGAGAATTGCTTAAACCCAGGAGGCAGAGGTTGCAGTGAGCTGAGATCGCACCACTGTACTCTGTCTCAAACAAAAAAAGTCCTATGTATATTTCCTTGCATTCATTTAGGCAGGCTTTATTGTTAACTTTTGTTGGCAGCAGACATGCATTTAAACTACTTGTTATGTCCTAATCTAAGAAATACTGAGAAATGGATGAAGTTGGTCCTAGGGTATCTCAAGGCACAGAGTGTTTTATTCTGTCCTTGGGACAGAGGTTTGATTCAAAATGTTTTTTCAGAAACTCGCCTTGAACCCTGATTTTATTAAAATTCTTTTTATACTCCATCCCTCCTGGAAAATGACTGGATCCCTATTCCCACTGTTGCTTTTTGGGGACCCATTATCTCCCTCAGTTTCCTGTGTACCTACAGGGTGGCCTGGGCTTCAGTTCCTCAGTGTCCTGGTATGAGATTAGGTGGAGGTGGATTAATCTGATGTAGTAACATGATACTGTACTAAGGCTTATCTATTATTCTCTCAATAACTGATCTTTCAACCCAACTAACCATTTTCTATGTGCTTTAATGTGGTAGGAATTACAAGCATAGCAAGTTACAGTTGATCAGGGATTTCTTTCCTCTTTAAATGGTGACATATAGATTTCTGCCCATTGTACCTACTCAAAGCAACTTCCTTTAGGAAAAAAGGCCACAGTCTACTTTCCTAAGCATAAACTCAGTTCTCATTCCACCTCTACAATGGTAAGATGTGTTAGCTTTAGGCAGTCTCTTACCTTCTTTGAGTGTTTCTTGTGTTGCCTACTTCATTGGAAGTAAGGCTCTGGAACAGGGAATGTTTGCCTTCATAAGACTAACGGTTATGCTTTATAAGAGACTAGCAAAGCTGGAGACATGTTCAGCTCTCTTCTTGTGGAGAATACCTTGCCCTTGACCAAAAGCAGTGTCCCAGAAAGAGCTGTTTGGATGTTGGCTTTGTGCCCATTCATTTAAGAAACAGGTTTTAGGATTTTTTTCTTATTCCTGTTAATAATATTAGATCAGCTTCACCTTTTTTCTTATTCCTGTTAATAATATTAGATCAGCTTCACCTTAGCTTGTTTAATGCACAGTCATCTGGTATAAAAGCATTTGAAAACCCCCAGGGATCATAACCACATTTGTGCATTGGGAAAAGAGAGTGAGGCCAAGATTTTGAGATGTGTTCAAATGCAAGAAGCTTTAAAATGCAAAGTATTCTAACACTGTTGAAGGTTAAAGCTAACTGTTGTTCCCTTGTTGAAGGTAAAAAGTAAAGCTATTTTTAGGAAAGTGCTTTTCCTTATGTGTCTAATATTTGGGAACTGCACAGGAGAATGGTTTAATATCTATAGTAAGATCCATTCTTTTTTTTTTAGACAGAGTCTTACTCTGTCGCCAGGCTGGAGTGCAGTGGCACACTGCTGCAACCTCCACCTCTCAGGTTCAAGCAATTCTCCTGCCTCAGCCTCCTGAATAGCTGGGATTACAGGCATGGGCCACCATGCCTGGCTAATTTTTGTGTTTTTAGTAGAGACGGGGTTTTATCATGTTGGCCAGGATGGTCTTCATCTCTTGACCGCTTGATCTGCCCGCCTCGGCCTCCCAAAGTGCTGGGATTGCAAGCATGAGCCACCGCACCCAGCCAAGATACATCCTTAATGTAATGTAACCAGACCCAGAGGAGAATTTGCAAACCCATCGTAGGCATATAGGTGACTGAAGAAGAATTGTGACAGCAAGATCTCACTGAGATGCAATTCCATTCCTCCATTTGTTACAGATTAAGATTTCTGAAAAAGACCATCCTTCTAAACCCTCATGGACTCTGCAGAGAATATGAGGCCAGAAAATGAATAATTCCCAATTCTTACTATCTCATTACTGGCCAGTGTGTCTGGCTTAGCTGCGTGTGTGCCTTCTGAAGCATACCCTATAATTATTCAGCATGTATAGCCCAGTTCATCCTACTTACTTGAACAATATTACCTTTCTTTTATTTCCCCTGTAAAAATCCTTCTCTTCTGTCTTTCCTCCTTTCTTTCGTCTTTCTTAACTTTTCTAATCTAAAGTGCCTTGAAAAATTTGTCTACATAATAGTAAGAAGGAAAGTTGACTTATGCTCTCCTGGGAACCTTGACCTTCCTGCATTATGGATAAATCATTTCCCTGCAGGTAGAAGTGGGAAATTACAGATAGAACCACATTGACTCACATTCTCCTACTTTCATTTGAGTGAGCATCAAGTATGCATTGAAACATGAGATTGTAAAGTTGGTTTAATGATGAAACAAGTTTCCCAGTCAGGTTTTCCATTGGCTCGAAGTTCACAAGGCAGTTGTTGCTTGTCTCAGAGAGTGCTTAGGTAGACTACATATGAACACTGGAGTTGTTAAAATGCAGATTCTAGCTGTCGTCAAATCAATGAATCAGAATCTCAGGAGGTGGCGCTCAGAAATCTGCACCGTTGATCAGTTCCCTAGCAGATTTGTATTTTTGCATGCTAAAGTTTGAGGGTCACCACTGGAAGGATTCCAGAACAGGGCCTGCAAAGGGTGTTCAAAGTTTGCTCAAATTAACTTTGTTGATACAGTATTGGCTTGAATATCAGGAGGTTTTGTACTTAAGTTCTCTAAAAAAGAAAAAGAAAAAAAAGAGCAGTCTCAATATATAAAAAGAAAGGTTTTCATATATGTGCCCAATTATGAGTATCTTGAATAATTGTCTAGGAATCTAAACAGAATGTCTTTAGATCATCTTTATAACAATCCTGAGACTCTTTGACTGTTTTGAGTTTAAGATAGGTAATAAGAAAGAAACCATCAGTTAATGCAGAGGAAATAAATTTCTTTATATATAATATTCACAGATGACATGTTTCTTTTAAAAAGTTCAAATAACAGACCGGGTACAATGGCTCATGCCTATAATCCTAGCATTTTGGGAGGCCAAGGGGGCGGATCACCTGAGGTCAGGAGTTGAGACCAGCCTGGCCAAGATGGTGAAACCCCATCTCTACTAAAAATACAAAAATTAGCCAGGCATGGTGGCACACGCCTGTAGTTTCAGCTACTTGGGAGGCTGAGGCAAGAAAATCACTTGAACCTGGGAGGTGGAGGTTGCAGTGAGCTGAGAATGCATCACTGCACTCCAGCCCAGTGACAGAGCAAGATTCCATCTAAAAAAAAAAATTCAAATAACTTTACCATACATGTCCTCTAGTCTCTTATTTACCATACATGCCCTATATAGTCTCTTATCATTTCTCTGTATGAAGAATAATTTATACTCACTAATGTAATGTTCTATATTTTTACACAACATAGTATTATTTTAATATTGCACATAGAGAAAAATACTGCTCGACATACCTCTTACCCTGAAAATTAGAAGGATTAGTATTTTTATTCAGGCTTCTGATGTAAAATACCTGCTTGATTCATGACTCAGGCCATACAATTTCACCAAAACAAATATCCTAATAGTTGTCATCCTGAATAACTGTTTAGTGTACAGAATGTACTTTCATTTATTAAGAAGTGATTTAAGAGATTATTACTTCTGCATTTATCACACTAAGATGACCAAATCTTTAGTAAGGGAAGAGTAAAGGAACTTTTTTTTTTTTTTTAATTTTTTAACTGGTTAAGTTTTTATTAAATCCACAGAAGTAAAAACCGTATCTTTTTTTTAGGATGAGGAACTGGGGGATGGGGCCACCAAGAAGTGGAAGTCAGGCCACCAGGGGAGTGGGGATGGGGTGACAGGACAGAGAAGAGCACCAGGCTGGGCTGGCAATGGGGGCTGCAGCCTCAGGGGCCATCACCAGGGCCACCAGACAGCTCCTGGGAACTCAGGCTAGCACCAGGCAGACTCATCGGTGGGGGCTCCACCAGCACAGCAGAGAACTTGGTGTCACTGAAGGCTTCTTTCATGCGCGTCTTGAAGAAGCGCTGCAGGCCGATGATGGACTGCACATCTGCCTTGTCCTCAGTTAACTTGTTGAATTGCTTGAACATGCGGCCCACATCCTGGGCAAACTCCTGTGGGGAGCTATAGGGAGGTGACAACTTCTCCTGAAGACGGGCATGGATCAGGGTCAGATCCAGGGTGCCACCAGGCTGGTCCAGAGAGAAGGTGGAGTCAGTAGCCAGCTGATTCAGGGGGCGGCAGGGCTCATGACAGAACAGGGCCAGCAGTACACGCTCACATTTCCGCTGGCTGACTGGTGAGAGCTTGGCCACCACACCAGTGCTGTCTGCACCATCCAGGCTGAGGCTGCCATCCTCCTCCTTCAGGTCAGGGAGCACATGGCAGAGTGAGCAGCTCCACTCCTCCCCTGGAACATCCTGCAGGGCAGGCAGGTGGCAGTCGAGGTGGAAACAAAACTTACACTGGTTGCACATGACGAGATCACCTGGCTTCTGGCAGACACGGCAAATGGTGGCACTGTCATCCAGGGTTCCCGGACCACCACCTGGAGCTGAGGTACCCCCAGGAGCCACCACCTCCAGCCCTGAGCTGGTGCTGCCACTGGGTGAGGCCAGGTGAGGACCCTCGGTTCCAGGACCCTCTGGAAGAGCCAAAAGCACAGGTTGGTCTCAGGGCCCTCAGTGGCAGCAGGAGGGGCTCCAATGGCAGCTTCTGTCTCCTCCTTTTTGACAATGGCCATGCCAGCCAGGGGTGGGGCACCAGGGGTTCCTGCAGGCACAGTCCCTGGCTGGCCGGCATCTACAGCAGCAGCGCCACGTTCAATAACAATAAGGTTGTAGTCCTCAGTGGTACTGCCTGGGAAGACCTTGAAGACAGGTGGCTGGCTGTCAGCAGTGAGGTCCAGGTCCAGGCGTTCAAGGCTCACTCGTGGGACCTTGCACATAAGGCCGCTCACCTCGCCCTCACCTGAGCGGGACCGTTTCACACCTGATACATGGGGCTCTGCACTTGAGTAGGGATCATCTGACCCAAAGCCATAGCCTTCCTGCACCACAGGCTGGCTGCCGCCAGAGCCCTGCTTGCTCAGTGGCCCTGGGGCTCTTGGAGGAGCCATGGGTGCAGGGCCTGTCGAGTTAGTGCCAGGACACTCTGCCACAATCTTGCCAAAGGCCTCGGCACTCTTGGTCCAGGCATTGAGGTCCCACTGAAACTTCATCTCGCCATGTGGCTCCACAGGATCCACAATCATCTTGAGGGCCCAGTGCAGCTGGAAATAGATCAACTTCTTAGAAAGCAGGAGGGCTGTATTGTTGTCACTCTCCAGAGCCCAAGAAGCAAAGCGCAGGATGTGCTCCTGGTGCTTCTGGATCTTGGTCATGGTCCAGTGCTGCCGTTCCAGGCGCTCCTGCTGCCCCTCAGTCATCTTCTGGGCATCGTTGACCAGCACACGGCCCCGCTTATTCAGCTCCTTCATGATCTGCAGGATGGCCATCTTGACATCCACTGCACATGCTTCTCTACGTCAGACACCTGGCGGATCGAGCTGCGAACCTCCTTGGTGCTCTTCTGCAATGTTACATGTTTGTCCCCAAGGCGCTTCACCAGTAAGGCCAGGAGCTTACGCTGGTTCTTCACTGCATCGTCTAAGAACTGGTACTGGTGGTCCTTGTGGGCATTGAGCTGCAGTCTCGGCAGGTGAGAGTATCACAGCTCTCACAAAAAAGCACAAGGGGTTCATGCTTGTGTACGTTGCAGTAGACGGTACGTTCACCATCCTGAGACTTGGCTGGCCCAGTAGAGCGCACAGTGTGATCCTTGGTGTACTTGACCCGCTGGTGTGCCTCTACACAGGTCTCACACAGAGGCTCTGAGCACTCCACACAGTAGCTGGTGGCTGGGGCATTATCCTCACAGCTAGTGCAGCACTGGTTCTCATCCTGGGCGTCGGTGGCAGTCTTGCTGCCACTATCACACATGAAATAATTCTCCACGATGTCTTTGGAGAAGCACTGTTGCTTGCACACAGGACAGTCCACCACTGCGCCGTCTCCCGCCGCCCCGCCGTCCCCCGAACTGTTGGCGGAAGCGGGCGCCGCGGGGCCTAAGCAGGCACTACAGGCCGAGTGCAAACAAGGCAGCAAGCGGGGCTCCCTCTCGGGTCGCAGGCGCTCTCTACACAGGCCGCAAGTGCTCCAACAGCTCCAGCGCCTCGGCGCCGCCCCCCGCGGGCGACGACGCCGCGGCCTAGGCCGACGCCGAGGCTGCGGCCGAAGAGGCGGTGCTGCGCTTTTCGCTGCCAGCGGAGCCCTCACCCGGACCCGGGCTGCCAGAGGCGGCCGAGGCCGCCGCTGCTGAGGCCGCAGCCGCCGCCGAGGCCGCCATTCACACGCCGCTGGTGGCGCCCGGGGGGGAGGAGGGGCGCGGGGCCCGCCGCACAGGCGCAGAGGCGCTCGCCGCCAACTGTTGGGCCGCCGCCGCCGCCGCCGCGAGGCCGATCGCTGCCCCGAGCCTCCTGAACTGCTGCCCACCGCGCACAGGACGCTGTTGCGACCCGGCCAGCTACTGCTTGCTCGCTTTACGAAGGCGCCGCTCGCGCTTCTTCTCCAGCCGCCGCCGAAATCCTTACCACGCGCCACAAGCACAACCGCTCGCCCGCGCGCTGCTCGCAGAAAGCAAGGAACTTATTTTTATATCTAGATAGAAATTTTATTAAGGATACAGTATTAGGGTTTATAATGGGAAATAATGGATGGGTTACAAGAATAAGGCTCTTTGTAAGCCCCGCAGGAAAGAATATTTGCAGAACAGTAAAGGACATGGTGGCTTCTCAGAGAATGTTGGCAGAAACCTGGGCCTCACTTCTGGAAAAGGCTCAGTGCTAGAGCTAACTGAGCATCAATATGCCAGTACAGGCAAGAAAGTCCTGTGAGAGGCAGACTTGTTTCTTAGGTCAGAACAGGCTCTGCTTCAGAACTTCACCCAGTACCCAATTCTTTTCTGCTTCAGCTTCCTTTTCTATAAAATGGGTGTCATCAGCCTGGCCACATAGTGAAACCCCGTCTCTACTAAAAATACAAAAATTAGTTGGGCGTGGTTGTGTGTGCCTGTAGTCCCAGCTACGTGGGAGGCTGAGGCAGGAGAATGATTTGAACCTGGGAGGTGGAGGTTGCAGTGAGCCTAGATCGGGCTGCTGCACTCCAGCCTGGGTGACACAGTGAGACTTTGTCTCAAAAAAAAAAAAAAAAAAAGAAAGAAATGAGGGTCGTACTTATCCCACGAATGAGCTGTTATGAAGATAAAGTTGGCTTTATTGAATGTGCATGATTCCTGGAACCCATAAAGATGTCAAATTTAGAAGACTCAGATTTCCTTTGCTCTGCAAATAGCTAAATTTGGTTAGCTGGGGTGGGGTCTGCGTACTTTTCCTTTTGAAGAATTGTTCCCTTATTCTGGCCATCTTCTCCTCTCCTGCAAAGGCACCATATATTTTTCTGGCCTCAAGTACCTACAGTGATAAAACACCCTGAGCTGAAAAGATCACTGGATAAGGCAGACTTAATACAAAAGAATGTGGCAGAAGTTCAGGCTTCAGTGCACATCAGAATAGAAGCTTCCTGAGGGCAGAGACTTTTGAATACTTTCCTCATTGGAGTATCCCCAGAACTTTGAGCAAGCGCATGCTCAATAAATACTTGAAAGAATAAATCAATAAAAGACATCTGGGCTTATGTCTCATTTTTCCACTGTTCTCAATGAAGAGATTCTCTTCGTTCTACAACTTTCCTGAGCCTGATCTCCTTCTCCAAAATATTCACCCTTCCAGGCACTGACTCCATCTCCCATGTCAGAGCTTTTCCTTAAAGTAAATAACAGTCGCCCATTAATATCTTCATAACTTTGGAACAGTGCAGTTTTTTTTTTTAACTTAAGAAGCATTGTTTCCATCCTCCAAACTAAAATAAATTTTGAGAAAAGATGGAGATGGTTTGGGACTGGGGAAGGAGGGAATGGAGGAAGTGATTATTTGAGGGCACATTAACTATTTGTTAATAGAATACCAAGCATTAAAAATATTAATTAGACCTTAAGTAAGGTAAGCTAAATAGAATATCTTAGTTAAATTTGGCTTGTAGGAAGTAGGTATCATTAAATGAATGTCTGTTAGATTCTTGATTTTCAAATTAACTAGATAGATTAGTTAGACTGAGGAAGGGTGATTACATGGCTAAGTCCTATGTTACTGAGGGAGAATGGGGAAAGGGCAAGAGAAGGCTGGCAGGTAGAGCTGGAATTTGTCTGCTAGCAATAGACCAGTGGTTCTCAAATGTAAGCCTGCATCAGAATCATCTGGAGGGCTTGTTAAAACAGATAGCTGGGCCTATCCCCAGAGTTTAGGATTCAATAGGTCTGGGCAGAGGCATGATAGTCTGCATTTCTAGCTTGACCAGGTGATGTTGATGTTGCTGGTTGGTCCCAGGACCACATTTTGAGAACCACTGCAGTAGAGTGTATGCATCAAGATATACCAACAGTCATCTTACGGTCTTCAGCTAAGTTCAGTTGTCCCCCACAGGTTGAGGCTGTGTTCAAGGGCAAACAAAACTTTCTCTCTCAGCCACTTCCATAAGTTTCATAGTTTAACAGAGCAAACTCACCAAAAAAAGGAGGAAGTTAGAACTGCTCCATTTCCCCTTATAGTGAAGGCATGTGTATTTCACAACTGCAATCACCTTGAATAGCAGAGGCTGGAAGGCTCTCCGTGTCTTTACTGAAGCCACCTCACTAAGTCACACAGACATGCCGCTAATTCACTGCCTTGGCCAGCACATCTGAAAATAAATAGCACTATTATAGGCCCTTTCATGAATATACAGTTTGTGGCCTCTAAATTGGCCAAGGAGCTGGCTATGCTGGGACAAATAACTTAGATAAATCACAAATCAGAGTGGAGAAATGAGGTGTTTTTAATCAACAGCATCCAACAATGTGTGCTGAGTAGTTTAATTGAATCCAGGTAGAGGAGGAAGTGGATGCAAGGGCTCCAAGTATGCTGGGAATACAGTTTTATTTCAAAATTCCAGGTAACTTAGAAACAAAATGGTAATAATGAAAGGAACCCTGAAGAGATTTGTTGTTGTTTTTTGTTTTGAGATGAAGCCTTGTTCTGTCACCCAGGCTGGAATGCAATGGCATGATCTTGGCTCACTGCAACCTCCATCTCCCGGGTTGAAGCAATTCTTTAGCCTCAGCCTCCCTAGTAGCTGGGATTATAGATGTGTGTCACCATGCCCTGCTAATTTTTGTATTTTTAATAGAGATGAGATTTCACCATGTTGTACAGGCTGGTCTCGAACTGACCTTGTGATCCGCCCACCTCAGCCTCCCAAATTGCTGGGATTACAAGTGTGAGCCACCACACCTGGCCCTGACGAGACCATTAAGATACTTTCAAAATGGTTTTAAAAAGTGTGTGTGTGTGTGTGTGTGTGTGCAATTTCTGTCATAAATCTACGGCAACCACAGCACAAACATTTTAGAAAACAAGAAACAACTCTAGGTTGAGTGTGGTGGTTCATGCCCATAATCCCAGCAATTACCTGCATCCAGGAATTTGAGACCAGCTTGGACAACATAGCATGATCCCATCTCAACATAAAATTAAAAATTAGTCAGGCATGATAGTGCATGCCTGTAGTCCTGGCTACTCTCAGGGGACTGAGATAGGAGGATCTCTTAAGCCCTGAAGTTTGAGGCTGCAGTGAGCTGTGATCTCACCACTGCACTCAGCCTTGGTGACAGAGCAAGACCCTGTCTCAAAAACAAACAAACAAAAATTCTATTTTCCTGCCTCTCTAACATAACTGTGAATAGTAGTATTTCCATCTACTTTTTAAGTACACTATTTAAAAACATGGAAGGTTTTCAAATAGTGTGCTTAGATTTAAATACATTTTCAAGCTTATACTCCTATAATAAGCATGTTCTTTGGAGTCAGATAGTCTTGGGTTCAAATCCTCAAGACATTTCCAGTCCTCAGTTTTGCATTTGTTAAATGGGGATGATAAACCTGGCTCATAGCATTGCTATGTGCATTCAATGAAGTGCTTATCAAGTGCTCAGCACAGGGCCCTGCGTAATGTAAGCACTCAGTAAATAGTGGCATCATTTTCTGTTTTCACACACAACAAATGAGTCAACCTTCTGCAGTCCTAATAATTAGGAAGTTCTTCTTAATGGCCAAAAGTATACCTGTTTTTAGTCTGTGCATTTGGCAAAATTTCATCGCACAAATTGTTCAGTGGTCCAGGAGCTGCTTTGAAGATCTTCTCTGACCAGCTTGTTGAGAGCTTTTGTTATTTGTGTTTTTCTGAAAGATTACACTCATCAAAGAGGAATGACCATTGGTGCTCAGACTGAGAGAGATTGGTTTAGTTGTTGTTTAGTCAGGCTATGTGGCTTTGTTCCCAGACCACAGATTATAACCACACCATTGGGGGCACCACATATAGTCACTTTGGTAAACTAGATACGGGTTGCTAGGAACGTGGGTGAGAAACCATGGGTAGGGAGGTGTGGACCTCTTCCCCCTACTCTCCCAAGCCTGGCCAAATTCACATCTGCAATCAGGATTTTGTTTCTGTTCCAGAGCTATTTATCCAACTGCCAAATTGACATCCACTTGGAGTCCTCATGGGAAGCTCAAACTTAGTATTTGGTTATAAATGAAATTTTCAGCCCATCAGAAGGTAACCATACTGTCTTGAGTCTTGCAGTTACCCTGTAAACAAAGGGATTAACTTTACTAGATAGCAACTTCCTACCCACAAAGTTAAGAAAAGAGTTCCTCCTTGGAAATCTTGGTTTTGCTTATCAAATAAACAGGATTCTTGGTTCTTCAGGATAGTTACAGATAACAGTGGGCAGAATAGCCAGTTAATTCAGTGACTCCTTAAAATTGTTGAAAGTATTTTTTACACTTTCTTTATATTGCTGCTTAAAGTATTAATTGGTAAAATACTCTGAAGGACAAATACACAAACACATTCACCCAACAATTCCAATTCTAGGACTTTATTTCAAGATATATTTATACACGTATGAATTCACATATACAGCTTTCTGAAAATTATCTGTGCTGGAAGAAAACTAGAAACAGCAGAAATGTATGAAACAGACTAGTTAAGAAATTATTGGCCGGGCGTGGTGGCTCACACCTGTAATCCCAACACTTTGGGAGGCTGAGGCGGGCAGATCACGAGGTCAGGAGATCGAGACCAGCCTGACCAACATGGTAAAAGCCCCATCTCTACTAAAAATACAAATATTAGCCAGGCATGGTGGTGGGCATCTGTAGTCCCAGCTGCTCAGGAGGCTGAGGCAGGAGAATCATTTGAACCCAGGAGGCAGAGGTTGCAGTGAGCCAAGATCACACCACTGCACTCCAGCCTGGCGACGGAGTCTCGCTCTGTCTCAAAAAAAAAGAAAAAGAAAAAGAAAAAAGAAATAAATTATTGCCCAGTTACATATAGAATACATATGCAGTGAAAAAAGAATGAGGGCATTATTATGTATTTATCTATTAAGTGAATAAAGCAAAATGAAGATCACCAGCGAACAGATAAACAAATTGTGCTATTCCTACAATGGAATACTCCTCCATAATATAAAGGAATGAGCTATGGATGAACACTACAACATAGATGACTCTCAAGTACTGTGTTCCCATTTATAAATAAAAATGTGGGAAAGAATATATACATGTATTTGCTTATAAACTCTATATGCACAGAAGGAAACAGGAAATTATTATCTAGATTGTCTATGGAGAGGGAACTGGGTACCTGGCAGACAAGAGTAGGAGGGAGACATTTTACAATGTCCTTTTTTATACTTCTTATATTTAAAATTGCAAAATATATTACATACTCAAAATAAAAATAGAACAGCTTATATAACTATGTCTAAATATTACGTGTAGTTTTCCTCTCTGGCTATTTTCTTTTTGGTCTTTATATAATTTTTTTTAAATCCACTTATTTAGCCCGGGTACATAAATGGAAAAAAATGCTTAAAATTATGTCATTTGCAAAAATAAACCAATATTTAGACATTTTAGAGCTAGTATATTTTTGTTTGTTTCTAATTTAATTCTACATGGTATCAAACTAACTACTCTGTATGATTTCTGACCTTTGTGATTTGGTGAGATTTGTTTTATGGCTGAGCATATGGTCAATTTGTAAAAGTTTAATGCGTGCAAGAAGAATGTGTACTCTGAAGTTAGACATAGTATTTTCTGTATATGTCAATTAGCACAAGTTTGTTTATCAGATTCAGGTTTCATGGTTCTCTGGGGTTTTTTATCTGCATGATAGAACAGAAGTATGTTTGAAACTTTTACTTTAGTTGTAGATGTAAATTTTTTCTCTTACTTTTATACTTCTTGCTTTATATATTTTGAGCCTATATTACTTGGTACATACATATTTTGAATTGTGCTCTTTGATTATTTAGGAAATGTCTCTCTCTTCAGTAATGCTTCTTAAAGTCCATTTTGTCTGATATTACATAGCTACATCAGCTTTCTTTTGGCTAGGTTTTATAACTTTTTAAATTCTTTCACTTTCAGTCTTTTTATGTCCTTATGTTTAAAGTGTGTCTGAAGAAAGAAAGAAAAAGAAAAAGAAAGAAAGAAAGAAAGGCACTACAATCTACCTATATTCCAAACATGTATATGTAACCCTAAACCTAAAATAAAAGTTAAAAATAGATAAAGTGTGCCTCTTTATGAAAACTTGCTTAGCATCATTAGTCATTAGGGAAATGCAAATTAAAAACCCAACGAGATACCACCACATACAACATATCTGGTCTAATGACTAAAATTAAAAATACTAACAACACTAAGTATTATTGAAAATATGGGAAAAACTGGACACTGATTATGGGAGTATACAACCAAGTTAAAACACTTTAACTGGGCATTTACCCAAGAGAAATGAAAGAATGTATCCATATAAAGATTTGAACACAGATGTTTACAGCAACTTTATTTGTAATAGCCAAAAACTGAAAACAACGCAAATGTCCATAGACAGGTGAATGGATTAAAAAAAAAAACTGTGTTATATCTGTACAATGGAATACTCCTCTATAATAAAAGGGAGTAAACTACTAATACACAGTGCAATATAGATGGATTGCAAAATAATTCTGTTGAATGAAAGAAGCCAGACCAAAATAAGAGATATATTGTATGATTCTATTTATATAAAACTCTAGAAAATGCACATTGATCCACAGTGACAAAAAGCAAATTAGTAGTTATCAGAAGAAGGAGGGTAAGAATTAGGGAGCATGAAGAAACTTTTTTATTGTAGTAATGGTCTCATGGTCCTTTACATATGTCAAAACTTATCAAATTGTATACTTTAAATATGTGCAGCTTATTGCCTGCTAATTATACTGTTTTTAAAAGTAAAATGTGCTTCTTATAAGTAACATAATTTTTAAAAATGTAGTCTGATGACCTTTGTCTTTTATTAGAGAATTTAATCTGTTTACATTTAATAACTGATATAGACCAGGCATGGTGGCTCATACCTGTAATCCCAGCACTTTGAGAGGCCAAGTTGGGTAGATCATCTGTGGTCAGGAGTTCAAGACCAGTCTGGCCAACATGGTGAAATCCCGTCTCTACTTAAAATACAAAAATGAGCCAGGTGTGATGGCAGGAGCCTGTAGTCCCAGCTACTCAGGAGGTTGAGGCAGGAGAATGGCTTGAGCCCGGGAGGTGGAGGTTGCAGTGAGCCGAGATCGCGCAACTGCA